TTGAATTCAGGGCACTCCACCCCTGAGTCCCCTCCCCAGCCCCATTTTGCATTTTATTTAGAGACAGGGTCTCCCTGAGTTGCTTACGGCCTCACTTTGGCTGAGGCTGGCTTTGAACTCGAAATCCTCCTGCCTCAGCCTCCTGAGCCGCTGGGATGACAGGTGTGTGCCACTGGGCCTGGCGGAAGCCTGTTTTTGCACAGTCTTAGGCTCACAGCCAAACTGAACGTAGGTGCACAAAATTTCGTATGCATTTGGCCGTCCGTATGTGTAGATTCAACCAACCACAGATTGAAAATATGCAAATATTTCTCTTTTTTTCTTTTTGTTTTTAGGTTGTTATTTCCTCAAAACCACAGTGTGCCGTCGTTTACCTTGTATGAAGTATTATAAGCCATCTAGGGGGGGTTTAATGCATGCAGAAGGACATATCTGTAAAAATTTTGCACGATTTGGGGCGGGGTACTAGGAATTGAACCCAGGGGTGCTTAAGTTGCATTTCCCCAATTCAAGACCCACATCTGAGTCCTTTTTATTTTTATTAATTTCTTTTTATTTTGAGACAGGATCTCACAGAGTTGCTTTGGGCCTCGCGAAGTTGCTGAGGCTGGCCTCCAACTTGCGATCCTCCTGCCTCAGCCTCCCCAGCTGCTGGGATCACAGGCACGCACCCCGGTGCCCGGTTCTGCACCATTTTATACAAAGCATTTGAACAGCTGCAGATTCTGGTGTTCGTAGGGATTCCTGGGACCCCTGCACTGCAGACACCAAGGGGTGACTCTACCCCATTCCTTTCCACGGACACCCACTCCTGCATCATCAGCCAACGTCCACCCGCGAGTTCCCCGAGCAACGGGAGCAGCATTGACTCCAAACGGCTCTGCAAAAAAGACAATTTCCCTTTGCTTAGGAGAGAGCTCAGACGTGTGTCGGACAGGAACTTCCGATGCATTGACCCTTCCCTGAACGACTTTTATCAAAGGCCACACACACGCACAAAAATCTGGAAGCATTTTGTTTAAATGCAGCAGAAAAGAGGCTTCTATGGTGGTGGTGGCGGTGGAGGGGGGAGGCTATCTCCAATAAAAAAAAAAAAGCAAAATGAAACCCCCCTCGGGTCCTCGGCTGATTGAGGTTTTACCCCGAACGGACCTGGGAGAAGTTTCCCAGGGAAGATTCCTGGAAGCCTGTTTCTGCTCAGAGAAAGACGCGGCTTCAAAAGTGTTTTCCTCGAGGGACGCCCAAGCGCTGGGAGGTCATGAACCGAGCACAGACTTCCTGTGCAGGAATTTTCAAAAAGTTTCTCTCTCTCTCTCTCTCTGTCTCTTCCTGTCATTGTAGCAAAACTCAGGATGAGATAGATCATGTGAGCCGGGTAGACCCCTGAATGTGCAACCTGGAAGTGACTTGGACAATCCCTGATTAGCCAAAGACACGGGGACCCTCAGAGTCTTCTTTGAAAAAAGAACGCAAGCACAACAACTTAGAGGAGGAGAAGTTGACTTGGGGCTCATGGTGTCCGAGGTACAGTCCCTGGTGGCCGACTCCCTGGCTCTGGCCCAAGGGGAGCAGAACAAGATGGCGGCAGGGCCTGGAGGAGGAGAGCAGCTCAGGACAGGGCACCAGGGAGCAGAGAGAGCTCTGCTCACCAGGGACAGGACAGAGACCCCAAAGGCACAGCCCAGGGACCCCCTCCTCCAGCCACCCCCCACCTGCTGCAGCCACCACCCAGTGAGTCCATCCAAGTGGATTAATCCACTAAGTAGGTCACACCTCTCATAATCTAGTCATTTACCTCTGAACATCTCTGAATTGTTTTCCTTGGACTTTTGGGGGACCCCTCACATCCAAGTCGTGATAGAGATTAATAACTGTAGTCAATAAGGAAATTGAACTATTGCAAAAATACCCTCTAATAAAACTCATGTGAACGTGGTCTCTCTTTGTCTCTCCCTCTCTCAAAAAACACCTTACCAGGTGGGACTCGCCCCTCCTGTGATAGCGTGAGGCGGTCGATGCCTGCACCCTGATGTGAAGTTGGGGGATGGGGTCCCTAAGCACTTATTACACACACCGTGGCCGCGACTTCTACATTCTCATATGTCAAACCAAAGCTACTAGTTTCTTCACATGAGGGTAATGTATACTGAGTGGATCCACTGGTCGAAGGGATGATTCAGGTCCCGGGCAGGAGGGACCAAGGTGGTGCATGATTTTCTCATGTCCCTTTTCGTGGTAGGCAACTTAAAACCCATGAATCGTCTACTTGGGGATTTTTCACTTAATATTTTTCAACACAGACAATTGCAATAAAGTAGAATCATGAATCCAGACCTGCAGATGGGGTGGGGGGCACTGGACCTATTATTCTGTCGATAGTGAAGGGCTCCTAGACTCCTCAGGGGAAGGTGGATTTCAGGGACTTTTCGGTGCTACATCAGAGAATAACAGGGCTCCCCGGGGACTCCTGAGCTGTGACCTTTCACTATTCCAACATTCTTAGTCCCAAATTTGGAGGAGGTCCGAGGTCAGAGCTGGGTGATAGAATGCAACCTGTCAGACTCCGTTTTCCTTCTGAGCTCACAAATTCAGAGGGTTGCATTTAGAAAGAGACGCATTTCTTTTTTTCTCTCCTTTTTAATAAAACAAAACGTTTCTAGGCTGACATCTTTTTCACATTGTACCAAACTGAAAAGAGCCCAACACAGTGACCATGGAGATCCCCGTCCTAAATCAGTGTGCTCCGGAACCTTCTGATGGTTTCAGTTTCCAGTGAGGCCCCCAGAGACATTTTAGGCAGATGAATTCCTGAGAATTCTGTAATCCCATGCCCACATTTTTTAAAACATAAATAACAGGACTCTAAACACACTCTTGGGCTTTTTTGTGTGTGTGCAAAAGTTGCACAAATGCAGATTTTTTTTAGATAAAAATAAGATTATTATTTTTTTTGCAGAAAACAATTTTTGCTTATTTTAAAATGCACCCTCCACACCGCCAGACTCTTCCTGTCAGCAGACAGACGAATTCAATTTAACCGACGTGGACCTCGAACGTCCATATCCGCGGGACTTTGTTGGTACATCAAGGGATCCTGCAATTAATAAATTAATAATAAATTAATAAATAATGCTTTAATTATGCACGGTGACTTTTTTTTCCTCCTAAAGTACAAATTTCTCAACAGAACTGAATCTCATTCACCCACCCGTTCTCACATACCTTCAATCACTTACTGAGTCAGTGAGTTCAATACATGGTGCGTGGACAGTTTCACGCGGGTCTTATGCCCTCGGACGCTACTACAGCATTCAAACAAAAGGCTGGGCAAGGTGGTGCACGCCTGTCATCTCAGTGAGTCTGGAGGCTGAGTCCGGAGAATGGCAAGTTGGAGGCCAGCCTCAGCGATTCAACGAGGTCCTAAGCCAACTTGCAAGACCCTGTCTCAAAGGGCTGGGGATGCGGCTCAGTGGTAGAAGGCTTTTGGGTCCCATCCTGGGTACCACAAAAAATTAATTGATTAATAATAAAGGGCATCCAAGGAGGTGAGTGACCGTCCTCTTGGCCTCTGTCACAAGTCAGATATCTGAGCAGATCCCTTGGGGACTGGCTCAGTGGCACTTGGCATGACAAGTGCCATCCAGCTACGCACACACTTGGGGCTCTGGTTTGGAGCCACCCTCCAGGTCTCAGGGAGGGTCTGGGTTGCTGAGAGAAGAAGTGATTGGTGCAAGATGCAGCCGGCCGGCAGGACGCTCGGGGACAGGAGCCTGACTATACTTCTGCAATGAGAAAAAGGACCTAAGAGAAGTTGTCCCCTCACACAGTCTTAGGACTCAGAGTCTACTAGACTGGCAAGAGGTGGTGGCCTGCCAATAACACATTGAACGACCTTGGATCTGAATGCCATCTGTGGCTTGGGTGCATGCAGAGAAGCAGAATTCTCAAAGGCATTGGTGGGCATCTGCACACTTGTCTACACCTATGGAAAAGCTGCAGAATAAGCGGATATAGGAACCTGTCTCTGCAAATCAGCCCTGGGTGTGGGAATTGCTGCCCACTGTGTTTCTTAGGAGCCAAGAAGGCGATCCGTGCTTGGAAATGCCCCTGTCTCCCCAAACGGGCTCCTTTCTTGCTTGCTCCCCAAGACCCCTAGCAGACTGTGGGTACAGGGCAGGAACCCCCCGGGGGGGACGGGCTGGGCCCCTTCCTTCCCCCCAGGTGGGCTGCTGCTAGCCCCTGCCCTGCTTTCCCTGGACCAGCCTGACCTGTGTGCGCCCCCAGGGGCCCCAGTCTCCGGCTCCAGAGGAGAGCCCCCTCCCCGTCCCCTAGCCTGGCCTGGCCGGGGCCCCGTGGGTGGCCCACTCGCTCGGGCACCTACCAGCAGGCTCCCACCGTTCCGGGCCCTGGCTCCCCCCTGCAGGAGCAGCCGTTCCGGGTTTTTGGCAGGAGCGCTCGGGCCTGGGGGAGGGCGGCGGGGGAGGGCGTGGCGGGGCTCACGTTGCAGCGGGGCCTGGCGCTGGCTGCCCGCGGGGGCTGCGGGCTCCTGGCTGCACACGGGGCCGGAGGCGCGGCCAGAGGAGTCGCCGTCCCGCCTGGAGGAGCGCACGCTCCGCGCCTTCTTTTCTTCTTCTTTTTTTTTTAAATATATTTTTCCCTTGAAAGGGGAGAGACCGTCTCCACCCTCCGGCCGCTCGGGCCTGCAACTTCTCGGCGGCCGCTCCCACCGCGCTCTCGAGTCGGAGTCCTCGCCCGGACCGGGTCGCTCCCGGACGAGGCTTCCTCCTTCCCCTCGCCGCCGTGCGCGCTGGGCTCTGGGCGCCGCCTGCCCGGCCCCGGGCTGGCGCGATGAGGAGGCGAGACGAGGGCTGAGCGCGCAGCGGCGCGGCCAGGGTCCCTGGGCTCAGGCCCGCGCGCCGTCTCCCCGGGGTGGGGCAGGGTGGGGGTGGGCCGAGGCGTGGACTCGGGGAAGCCTCCCGGCGCCGTCGGGGATAAAAGGGCGCTGGCTGCTGGCGCCGCGCTGGGAAGCGGAGCAGCCTCGCCCCGGGCCCCGGCGAGGGCATGGCCTCGCGGACGGACTCGCGGCGGTGACTCGCGCGCCCCAGACCCGTCGACGCTCCGGACGCACGGCTCCCGCGGACCTCGGCTTCCCAAGGGCAGGTGAGGACCTGGGGTGGCCAAGGAGCGCGGGGGACGGTGGCTCTGCCTGCAGACGGGGCAGGGGAGTGGGAGGAAGCCCAACGGAAGGACCTGGGCGCGAGGGTCAGGAGGCGCATCCAAGGGTCCGTGGCGCAATTTAAAGTGGGGGCTTGGAACAGATGTGTTTGCAACCCGAGGCTGCTGCCCCCCCCCCTCTCTCTCTGGCCAACGCGACACCCGCCTCCCCCTCCCCCCAGCAGCTCTCCAAGCCGCTCTCTACCGGGCTGCCAAACGCTTTTCCAAGTGAGGTCGAGTCTGCTCCTGGGATCCTGGGGGAAATACCCCGGGCTCCTGTCCAAGTTCCTCTGGCTCAGGTCCCCTTCCTTCCCCTCCTGCCCTCCCCCTCCCCCTCCCCCGCCTCCCCTCCTCCCCTCATCCCCTTCCTCGCGGTCCTCCTCCTCCTCTCCTCCTCCTCTTCCTTCTCTTCCTCGCCCACCCACTCCCCTCCTCCTCCCCCTCCCCCTCCCCCTCTTCCTCTCCCTCACTTTCCCCCAGACCTCTTGTGGGAAAGGGGGACCGCCCAGTGTCCAGATGGGAACCCAGCTGTGCAGAAACCCCCGCGAATCAGCACTGGGGACAGATGGGGCTGGAGGTCCGAGCCGCAGGCGACTGGGACTCGTGGGGACACCCCGAGCCGCGGGGCACGAAAGCTCGTAATTCTCGGCGCCGCCGACGGCGGGGCGAGACCCAGCGGGCCCTGGAAGCCGGCCAGGGGCGCAGAGCCTCCCGCCCGCCCGGCCGCTCCAGGTAGTCGGCGCTGGACCAGCAGAGGGCCGCCCACGGCTGGCCTGCCCACCAGGGCCGCCCGGGGCCCCTAGGAGCAGGGTTACCTGGGCGAGTCCTCCCGGGGAGCAGGAGGACTGGGCGGAGGAGGTCGCTTGAAGAGCAAAGACCACCGGGTCCGTTTGCAGCGCTGGGGCCAGGTCTGCCCGAGGGCGCTGGGTGCAGGGCGCAGGGCGCTGGCCGGGGAGCGCCTGGAGGAAGCAGCCGCAGGTCTGGCGCGCTGGCCGGCGGGCGGGGAGAGCCCGGGCGCCCGCGGCGAGGAAGTCCCCCTCACCAAGCCCCGGGAGCCGGTGGCGCCCGCGCTCAGCCGCGGAGCCCGAGCCTGGCGCGCAGCGGAACCGCGAGCCGCGCACACGGGCTTCAGAGAGGACCGACTTTGGGGTCCTCCACGCCTGGGCAAGCGGGGGGGGGGGGTTGCGGACCGCGCTCGCTTGCAGGAGCGAGAGATGACCGCCGTGTCCTGTCCACGCACATCACCATCCCCAAGTCAACCGCCTTCAAGAATTGCCCAAAATCATTAGGTCGCTAAGGCGTGACGGAAAACCCGCATCACCGCTATCCAAACGGGCTACCCAACATTTTCGTGAGCGTTCCCTATTTCATGCATTTCAATATATATATATATATTTTTTTTTTCAACATTTCTGTTGGGTCGGCACGTGTTTCCTCGATTTTTACAGAGGTTCACCCCAAGCTGACTCCCAGCAAACCACCCTAGCGCACCATTACAACCCATGCGTTTCCCCCCCCCCCCCAAAAAAAAAAATCAGCTGATTTTTTTCCCCCTCACAAATAATGCTACGATTCTCGTTCCTTTGCGTGCGTCTTTGGGCACTCGAATGAAAACTTTGACATTGAAGGAAATCTATGATCCTATTCAAGAACAACTTTTTTTGTTGTTGTTCTTTTTTAAATTTAAATTTGGATTGTGGATTTTGGCTCATGCTTTTGGAAGACAGAGATTAAACTCGTTATTGATTATTATTATTATTATTATTATTATTATTATTATTATTATTATTATTATTATTATTTTGCAAAAACGTCAGTATATCTCCCCTCGGCTGTGCCCTCCCTGTTTCCCAACCCAACCATCAATGTCAAGACTGAAGGTCATTTTCTACCCTCTTGACTAAAGAGAACGTGGACAGGTCACGACACCAGGTCTACTAGGCGGCCGGAAAGTAAGACCCCCTCGCCTTCTCGCCCGCAGGTGTCCCGGGACCCCGCACCCGCCCAGGATGCTGACGCAGGCGCAGTGGGGGGCACTCTCCGTGGTGCTGATTGTGGTCTGGGGCCAGCCGCCAGCCGCGCGGGCCTGTCCTCACCCTTGCGCCTGCTACGTGCCCAGCGAGGTCCACTGCACGTTCCGGTCCTTGCCTGCGGTTCCGGCTGGGATTTCTAAACACGTGGAGAGGATCAATTTGGGGTTGGTACCTCCTTCCTTGGGAGCAATTTCGATGTCTTTGCAGCGCGTCTCCATCGGGTTTTGCATAGACGCGTGCGTCTCTGCTGAACTCCCCCGGGGGGGGGGGGTCTCTGTCCAGCGTCGCTCATCTCTGTGCTTGAAATAGAGATCACAGGTGTTTTATTTTTATTTTTATTTTTCTTCCAAATGCATCCTCCCCAGCGATTATCTGGCTGTATCCACCAATTGGCTGCAACATGCATGAAGTTGATTAATAGCTTTGCATCCACACGTTGGAAGCTGCCTTAACAGTTGGTCCACGTGGACGTCTGTGGCCACAGTGAAACACGCGGTGCCTATTTAAACAGAGAGACTTCGGACCCTAGGAATAAGTCAAATGGGTAGAAAACCTCGGCATCCCTTGGTAGGATTCTCTCATGGAGGATGCGAAAAGGTCCTCTGTATTTGCCGATTGAAAAATGAGAATATTCATGAAGTTTTAAGAAACAAGGTCATCAGTTACTATGATAAAGTAATTTTTTAAAAATGAGATTCCTTCAAAATCTCTGTCTCTCTTTCTTCTTGGGTACTAAGGATTGAACTCAGGGGCACTCAACTCCTGAGCCCCGTCCCCAGCCCTATTTTGCATTTTATTTAGAGACAGGGTCTCCCTGAGTTGCTTAGGGCCTCGCTTTGGCTGAGGCTGGCTTTGAATCACCATCCTCCTGCCTCAGCCTCCCGAGCTGCTGGGATGACAGGCATGCGCCACCTTGCCTGGCTCCTAGTATTTCTCTGATGGGAGTTAAAAATTGTCTAAACTGCCAGGTGTGGTAGTTCGTGCCTCTAATCTCAGCAGCTTGGGAGGCTGAGGCAGGAGGATCACAAATTGGAGGCCAGCCTCAGCAATTTAGCAAGGCCCTAAGCAACTCAGCCAGACCCTGGCTCTAATAAAATACAAAAAGGGATTGGGAATGTGACTCAGTGGATGAGCCCCTGGATTCAATTCCCAGTACCAAAAAGAAAAAAAAAAAAATCCCCATGCATCTGCCCCAAGGTGAAGGCTGATAATTGTGCAACTGCTTTCAAGTTGCTTCATCTGTATGATGATCCCTGTCCATCCTATAGCTGGTCTGGGTTGTTTTTCTACCAACCCATTTTAAACCGCATTCTTTTGTAAGCACGAAATGTAACCAGCCTCCAAATTAGAGCCCAGACTTTGCAGTCTTTGACTTAAACATCCTATAATAAAGGCCAGGAGTCACGAAGCAGTAAGACATTAGAATGCTATTTCCTGTTGACGCCTGTGTCATCTTGAGATAGATTAGTGTCACATATAACCAAAAAAACGGGGGGGGGGGAGGCGGGGAGGTATCTGTAATCCCAGAGGCTGTGGAGGCTGAGGTAGGAAGATTGCAATCTGAAAACCAGCCTCAGCAACTTAGTAGGGCCCTAAGCAACTTAGTGAGACCCTGTCCCTAAATAAAATAAAATAAAAAGGCTGGGAATGTGGCTTAGTAGTTAAGCACCCCTGGGTTCAATCCTCAGTACCCTCCCCCAAAAAAAGAAAGAAATTAAAATTCCATAAGGTGTCTGTTTGTTGCACCAACAAGTATTTCCATTCCAACTGGCTTCATTTGTCATGTGGGTTAATAGACCATTTTTTTTTAAATCACTCATGATTTCACAGTAGACAGTGAAGTCGGCTTCGTGCATGTTTTTGCAAAATTAGAGACGCAGCCCAAGACAAGGGGGTGAGGCCCGACTCCGAGAAAACTCGGGATCTGAATTATCTCCCGGCGGTTTGGAGAGACAGCGTGAGTCTCCAGCAAGGAGGGCCCCTTGCCAGTGTCGTAATGAAATGTCTCCTTCCCACACAGCTGTGTTTAGTGTTCGCAGTTGGTATTGTTGCTCCCTGCTTGGAAAGCCTCAGAGCTTTCCAGAAAAAGAAGTTTCCAAATATTTTTTCCAAAGAGACGCACACACACAATCAGTCATGGAGCGTCGGGTCTAGACACTTTTAAAGATACCGTCCCCCCTCGGATCACAAGAGGAATTTGTTGATATTTCTCCACTGCCCACATTCTTTTAAAAGTAATTTTGCCACCGTGCGCGGTGGCACACGCCTGTCATCCGAGAGGCTCGGGAGGCTGAGATAGGAGGCTCAAAAGTTGGAGGCCAACTGAACAAGGCCCTAAACAACTTAGAGAGACCCCGTTTCTAAACAAAAGGTAAAAAGGTCTGGGGATGTGGCTCCGTGGTTAAGCACCCCTGGGTTCAAATAAATAAATGATCATATTTTGCTTTTGATGCTCTCTGAGACTCCGTCTTGCATAGAGTGTCTAACATGAGGCACTTTTTTTCCTGAGTTTGCTATGTATACAGTCGGTGCCCATCAATGGGTGACAAATATACTCTAGCACATACATCTAGGTGCTTATATGTTGCAGAACGGGTCTCCAGCTGGATTTTAGGTGATGCAGAGATGATTGATGCTCATCCTCCATTGGTAGGTGCTAGGATAGACAGACAATCCGTCTTGGTCTTCCACTTCTTCTCTTGTCCACCCGCCATGACTTCTCCTCGGTGGCCAACGGGGTTGTTTGAATGCCCAGTTGGGTTCTGGCCAACCCTTCCTATACCACCCCCGGCCATTCACTAGCCCCTTGGACTTGGAATGAACATGGCTCTCTGGGCTCTTAGTGACCTCACAAGCCCACCTGCTCCATCGAAGGCCATCCTCCCTCTGGTGACCATTTTCAGACACAGCTAAGGACCCAAGAATCAGAAAAGGCTCTCGATGCTCTTATACATTCTCCTTAGCGAGTTCGCCACCCCAGACAGACTGACTGAGGAATCCTAGATAAGGAGGGAGTGCAGAGGCCCTACCTGGGGACAGAGCAGGGCTGGTCCACCCCGGCACAATTGGCCCCAAGGACCTGTTTGCTGTTTGAGGTAAGGTGGTTCTTGCTCACAGGGCTGTCTTGTCCTGTCTAGGATTTCAGAAGCATCCCCAAAGTGATGCTTAATTTAGATGTTAGTTGTGTAATTGGGCCAACAAGGAGATCTCTAGAGGATTCCAAGTGTCCCCCAGGGGGTCACAGAAGTCCTATTTGAGAATCACTGCCATAGATCCATAGATGGTAGAGAGACAGGTAGATATGGAGATAGGTGATAAACAGATACAGAATAGATGGTCGATTAGATGATGGATAAATAGGTTATTATCATTTGATAAATAGATTATTATTATTAAATGATAAATACATGATAATTGACATAAAGATAGATATATGGATGGACTATGGATGGATGGATAATGGATGGATGAATGGATGGATGCATAGATGGATGGATGGATGGATGGATAGATGGATGCATGGATGGATGATGGATGGATGGATGGGTGGATGGATGGATGGGTGGATGGATGGGTGGGTGGATGGGTGGATGGGTGGATGGGTGGTGGGTGGATGGGTAGATGGATGGATGGGTGGGTGGGTGGATGGGTGGATGGGTGGATGGGTGGGTGGATAGATGGGTGGGTGGATGGATGGGTGGGTGGATGGGTGGATGGATGGATGGATGGATGGGTGGATGGGTGGGTGGGTGGATGGGTGGGTGGATAGATGGGTGGATGGGTGGATGGATGGATGGGTAGATGGATGGATGGGTGGGTGGATGGGTGGATGGGTGGGTGGATAGATGGGTGGATGGATGGGTGGGTGGATGGGTGGGTGGATAGATGGGTGGATGGATGGATGGATGATGGATGGATGGATGATGGATGGATGGATGCATGGATAGATGGATGGTTAGATGGTTAGGTAGATGGATAGATAGCAACACAATGAATTGACAGAAAGATAGATATATGTAGACCAATTAAGCAGACATGAGAGAGAAATATAGATAGATTACAAATAGATGCATGATGGACCCATACATGATAGATGTGTATTTAGATCACAGATATATTATAGATAATAATTATATAGAGAGACATAATAGATACATGGCAGATGCTACATGATTAGGTAAATGATGGATGGATACGTCTATAGAGAGACAGAAGATAAATAAAGCCATCATAAATAGGTAATGGATTAGACAGAGAATATAGGTACCTAATCATTGATATAGAAATAGACTATAAGTAGACTCATGGTGGATAATAGGTGACAGATGTTAGATATAGAGATAGATGGTAAATAGATGATAGATTGTCTGACAGATAATGTGTAATAATGATAGAGTGATGGATGATATATAGTGATGAATGGATGGGTAGATGGTTATAGAGGTCGATGGAAATACACACATACATCATAGATTGGTGATGGATGGATGGTAGATTTGATAGCTGTTGGATGGGTGGATGGATGGATGGGTGGGTGGATGGATGATGGATGGATGGATGGGTGGGTGGATGGGTGGATGGGTGGATGGATGGATGGGTGGATGGATGGGAGGGTGGATGATGGATGCCTGGATGAATGGAGAGATGGATGGATGGGTGGATGGGTGGATGGGTGGATGGATGGGTGGATGCATGGATGGATGGGTGTGTAGATGGGTGGATGGATGGGTGGGTGGGTGGGTGGATGGATGGTTAGATACTTTCATATTAGGGCCATATTTCCAAGACCTCAGTGCTATTGATGTTTGAGGCTCAATCATTCTCTGTGATGTAGAATCCTGGGCACTGTAGGACATCAGGAAATGGAAGGTGGATGGGTGGGTGGATGGATTATTGATGGGGGATACATGGATGGATGATGGATGGATGGACAGATGATAGATAATGGATGATAGATGGGATAGATGGGTGGATGGATGGATGATGGATTCATGGATGGATGGTGGATGGATGGATGGGTGGTTGGATGAGTGGATGGATGGATACTTCGATACTAAGGCCATATTTCCAAGACCTCGGTGCTATTGGTGTTTGAGGCCCCCTCCCTCTCTGTGGTGGAGGTCCCTATGCACTGTAGGACATCAGGCAGCTTCCTGGGCTGCACTCACCAGATTCCCATAGCAACGTCCACCCTACGTGACACCGAACAGCATCTCCAGACACCACCAGCTGTGCCCTGGTGGGAACTGTCCAGTTATCACACCCTGGTCAGGGAATTCTGAGTTAGACGAGTCAAGTCCAAGTGTCATACCCATAGAGTACCCCCGAGAGGTCCCCAGGACAGAGAGAAGGTGGACATCTGCTGATTCCTGGGCGAGCTGTCCCACAGAGTAGAGAACCAAGTATATCCACAGAGATCCTGTAAATGGCCCTTTTTGGAAAAGGTGAAAATCAAGTAACTTCAAACTGCGCCCTCCAGGTGTACGATTGAGTGACAGGTCGTCATCCACGCTGAGTTCCAGATATTCTCATCACCCCCCGAGGAACCCAGTACCCATTAAGCCGGGTTCTCCCTCCTCTCTCCTCAAAACCACCCGGGCATTTCCTGTTTGCCGAAAGCAGGTTTAGAAAATGGGCGAGGAAATGCACGGGTGAGATTTGAGATTGCCCGTCGGCCGCAGGCTTCTGTGGAGCGCAATTGGTCGCTTGGGACAGGTGTGCATCTCAAGTCGCTTGGGAGGACAGGTGGGCATCTCAGGATGCTTCACGGTTGATACTGTGCTCAAAGAAATACCTTGGTGCGTTCTGTGAGGGGTTGTTTTCTGAATTTCTTTTTTTCTGGTACCAGGGATTGAACTCAGGGACACTCGACCCCTGAGCCCTCTCCCCAGCCCTATTTTGCATTTTATTTAGAGACAGGGTCTCCCTGAGTTGCTCAGAGCCTCACCTTTGCAGAGGCTGGCTTTGAATTTGCAGTCCTCCTGACTCAGCCTCTAAAGCCCTTGAGATTTTACAGGTGTGCACCACCGTGCCTGGCCAATTGCTGAATAATCTCTTGTGCTCAATTGTGTGTGTTTGCATTTAAATGCAGAGAGAGAGAGAGAGAGAGAGAGAGAGAGAGAGAGAGAGAGAGAGAGAGAGAGATTCCTTAAAAGAGCAAAGTGCTTCTGAGAAGAATCCAAGTGGACCAGAAATATTAACTCATTTTTTTGCATTACGATATTTCTCAATTTTCATGATTTTTAAGCACTTGCATGTGCTATGACGAAGCATTGGCTGCTGTGGCATCTAACTCCTGCTTTCCTCTGACCTGAACAACGTAGTTGCTATTTTTATTACTGATGCTCATTCTATGTTCCTAGTTTCTCCTCCGATCTCCCTGATATTTCTTGGCCAGGTGTCCAACTCCATTCCAGCCAGAGATCCCAGCCACCGATCCCTGACAGACTACAGACGCTATGTCACTTGTCATTAGGTCATTTTCCCACACAGTCCGCTGGAGGAAGAGTTATCAGTGGCATTACTAATGAGGAAGTTGGGCTTCCAAGGAGTTAAGTAATGTCCCTGGGGCAGCCGCAAAAATGCAAGTCCTCATTATTATTTGGTACAAAGGATTGAACCCAGGGGTGCTTAACCACCGAGCCACATTCCCAGCCGTTTTAATTTTTATTTTTGGAGAAAGGGTCTTGCTAAGTTGCTTAGGGCCTCGCTAAGTGGCTGAGGCTGGCCTCCAACTTGCCATCCTCCTGCCTCAGCCTCCGGAGTGGCTGGGATGACAGGTACGGCCACCCCACCCGGCTCATTCTGGCTAGCTTTGTGATCCTTATCATTTTAAACTGCAGTTCCCCGTGTGGAACAGACTCATTTAAAATTCTAGGTCATACCAACCTCCACAAGAGTCTCTGGACTCCAGAAGCAAGTTGAGGCGGACATTTCTGGTGCCTATTCTTTAGTGGAGAGAGAGTAAAAAATGCATCAGGTCCTTTGCACACCCCAGAGATGGGCGAGGCCACACAGAGATTCAAGGACTTGGCGCAACCTCGATTGGCTCCTGAGGGGTCTGGGGAAATGGGTCCCACGGGGGAAACACTTGCCGTGGCTTATTCTAACGGCGACCCTCGTATTGCGCAGGTTTAATAGTATCCAGGCTCTGTCGGAGACGTCCTTCGCAGGACTGACCAAGCTGGAACTGCTCATGATCCACGGTAACAACATCCCCAGCATCCCCGATGGGGCTTTGCGGGACCTCAGCGCTCTGCAGGTGAGTCCCCGGCATTGAGGACCCTGGTTAATCCCACCCTCTGCGCCGATCTGTAAAGAGGGAAAACTCTAATTCTCCCCTGGTAATCTATAAAATGGCTATTTTTTTTATATTAAATGGGAAGCCTAATGACTTGAGGTTCCTGTCCCTTTGTAATGGCTGTGAGTTTATTTATTTTTCATTTTTTTGGAACTGAGAATTGGACCAAGAGGGCTTAGCCGCTGAGCCACACCCCCAGCCCTTTTTATTTATTTTATTTTATTTCATTTTATTTATTTTTCTGAGACAGGCTCTTGCTAAATTGCTTAGTGCCTTCTAACTTGCTGAGGCTGGCCTCCAACTTGCAATCCTCCCGCTTCAGCCTCCAAAATTGCTGGGATCCCAAGTGTGTGCCAACACCCTCCTTGTGGCTGAGGCTTTTTCAATCGTAAACCAGATTTTTTTTTCCCTAGTACCAGGGCTTGAACCCAAGGATGTTTAACTGCTGAGCCACATCCCCAGCCCAGCTTTGTATTTTATTTGGACATGGGGTCTCATGGAGTTGCTTAAGTCCTTGCTAAATTGCTGAGGCTGGCCTCCAACTTGCAATCCTCCTGCCTCAGCCTCCGCAGAGCTGGGATCGCAGGTGTTTGCCTGGTTGTAAACCAGATTTTTCTTTTAATTCACTGGTTTGTTCTCGCTCCGTCTCTGCCCCCCCCCCCGTCTCCTTGTAGGTGTTCAAATTCAGCTACAATAAAGTGCGCGTGATAACGCGGCACACGCTGCAGGGCCTGTCCAGCCTGATGCGGCTGCACATGGACCACAACAGGATCGAGTTCGTCCACCCGCAGGCCTTCCAGGGCTTGCTGTCCCTGCGGCTCCTGCACCTGGAGGGCAACCTGCTGCACCAGCTGCACCCGGACACCTTCTGCACCTTCACCTTCCTGGACCACTTCCGGCTGTCCACCGTGCGGCACCTGTACCTGGCCGACAACGCCCTGCAGGCCCTGCCAGACGGCATGCTGCAGAACATGCCGCTGCTCGAGAACCTCTACCTGCACGGGAACCCCTGGGCCTGCGGCTGCGGGATGGCGTGGCTCCTGGGATGGGGCGCCAGGTCCAGAGGTAAGGCCGGGAGGGCGGACCTGGCCGGAGGCTCAGCGCGCACACTGTTCCATTTTCCATGAAAGAGCTTCTCGTGCGGTTGGTGCATCTTGCACTGGGGGACATCGGCGCCCACGGCAGAGGTTGCAACTTGGGGGTTAGGATCCCTCCCTTTAATGGTGCAGAGGTACTTATTTGCCCTTAAGGAAAATGCACGGAAAGTCACTGCTTCACCTGTTCCATGGGTTGCGGGGTCTCAGCAGGGAGATTTATGATTTCCAGACTGTAGCTAGACTGCAGGAAGCCACGGGGATGGGGAAGGGTCCTCGGGTCCCTGAGCTGTGAAATGCATCAGGGAATACTTGGAATAGAGAAGGCTGAGGGTGTGTGTGTGGGGAGAGAGAGAGAGAGAGAGAGAGAGAGAGAGAGAGAGAGAGAGAGGTTCTCTACTGATTTAGAGAAACAACTTGAAGGAGAAAAATATTATTTGGGCTCATGTTTTCCGAGGTTCAGTCCGTGGCTGGCCGACTCCATGGCTCTGGCCCAAGGGGAGGCAGAACAAGATGGCGGCAGGGCCTGGAGGAGGAGAGCAGCTCAGGACAGGGCACCAGGGAGCAGAGAGAGCTCTGCTCACCAGGGACAGGACAGAGACCCCAAAGGCACAGCCCAGGGACCCCCTCCTGCAGCCACACCCCACCTGCTGCAGTCACCACCCAGTGAGTCCATCCAAGTGGATTAATCCACTATGAGTCTACACCTTTCCTCACCCACTCGTTTCCCCTCTGAAGGTTCTTGTAGTGTCTCACACATGAGCTTTTAGAAGAAGAGAAGTTTACTTGGGGCTCATGGTTTCCGAGGTTCAAGTCCCTGGTGGCCGACTCCATGGCTCTGGCCCAAGGGGAGCAGAACAAGATGGCGGCAGGGCCTGGAGGAGGAGAGCAGCTCAGGACAGGGCACCAGGGAGCAGAGAGAGCTCTGCTCACCAGGGACAGGACAGAGACCCCAAAGGCACAGCCCAGGGACCCCTCCTCCAGCCACCCCCCACCTGCTGCAGTCACCACTTAGGCCATTTAAGTGGATTAATCCACTCACTAGGTTCCAGCAGCCTGCACCGTGGACAGTAGAACTGCAAAGCTCTGATGCACCAGAGTTACCTCTGGCATTATCTAGAGGGTCTAAGCGTGTGCATGCCTTTGCACACATATGCCTTTGTGTGTGCACGTGTGTAACTGTCCCGTGGTGTGCACACGTGACCCGGGATGCATGCATGTGTGTCTCTGTGTGAGGACGGTGACTTCCAAACAGAATCCCAACATGCTCACTCCAAGGTGCTCAATGTGTGAAAGTCACACAGGGAGGTTCCCAGATAAAGCCCTGCAGCTGGCTCTTTCCAGTTGGAAACAGAAGGGGAGGAGCCGACTCCCAGGGAGCCACCTAAACGTGCTCCTCTCTTCTGGTTTCCCCAAAGGCTGGCACTGGGTACAGCTGCAGAGGAGCGTGCTCCTCTCTTCTGGTTTCCCCAAAGGCTGGCACTGGGTACAGCTGCAGAGGAGTGTGGTGCTGTTCCTAGATGCCACTTCATGGAGGGTTTGCAATGTCTAAATAGACGTGTCACGAATGCAATTGGGCGTGGAACCCGAAGACTGTTTGGACAGGGGACAGGCATATGGGAGCCATCTCTGGCTGAGGGTTGGTAATTGAAGCCATGCACGGGCTCAAGCCCCCTCCTCCATGAGGCTCAGCCAGGAGAAAGAGGGTTGCAACCTAATCAGTGCATTGTACCAGGAAGGAATTGGGCAGGGGGAAGAGGATCATTGAAGGAGACGGAGCAGTGGCCAGAAAGGAAATTCCGAGAGATCTCAGAGGCAGGGCTCCAAGAGACAGGAACTCAAGGTGCGCACTGTACAAATGAAAATCAGATAATGTAGCAAGGGGAAAGATGGATAAATGGGAGCTAAGATGCGAAAGGGCTTCGTACCAAAGCTGGCCCTTCACCTGGAAATATTCTTATGTGTCTCCCTTATTTCTATGGCTTCCCCTGGACCTTCACAGAAGGCACACTGTATAAATGCATGTGGATGATGTTTTGGGCTTTAAAAATACTGGAAAAAACTATGTGCATAATTCATTAAGCAAAGTGCACACTCTAAAATACCAGGAAAAATAGAGTGTAACTATTTTAATCAGCTTTTTTATCACTGACAAAAGACCTGAGAAGAACAAATTTACAGGAGGAAAAGTCGATTTGAGCTCATGGTGTCCGAGGTCCAGTCCACGGTGGGCCGACTCCATGGCTCTGGCCCAAGGGGAGCAGAACAAGATGGCGGCAGGGCCTGGAGGAGGAGAGCAGCTCAGGACAGGGCACCAGGGAGCAGACAGAGCTCTGCTCACCAGGGACAGGACAGAGACCCCAAAGGCACAGCCCAGGGACCCCCTCCTCCAGCCACACCCCACCTACTACAGTCACCACCCAGTTAGTCCATTCAAGTGGATTAATCCACTATTAGGTTACACCAGGAAGCAGAGAGAGCACTGCTCACCAGGGACAGGATAGAAACCCCAAAGGCACAGCCCAGGGACCCCCTCCTCCAGCCACCCCCCACCTGCTGCAGTCACCACCCAGTGAGTCCATTCAAGTGGATTAATCCACTTATTAAGTTAAGGGTGGTAATTGAAGCCATGTCATTTCTGCTCTGAACCTTTTAGCATTGTCCCACCCGTGAGCTCTTGGGGACACCCCACATCTAAGCCACACCCTACATAAACCAGTAACATCTTTACCATGATGCACTACTCCGTGCGGCACACAGTGGGTCACACTGTACTTTTCCACATCTGCTGATTTTGTGTGCAAGAGCATCAGCTCATGAATAAGGCGCTGCTGTTGGTCATTACCATGGTTACTGCATCACCAGGCAGGGGAACTTCTCAGGGGACCAACATCATGAGGGTTGCTAATCAGGGTCCAAACCTCACAACAGGGTGGCAGGAGTCTCGTTTTAGGACTACGGTGAGTTAGCGCATGGTGTCTTGGAACTGGGGACTCGGGATCTAGACAGTTGCTGCTGGTGGATCATCGTGGTTATGAACCTCTGTCCGACGAAGAAGCACAGTCTTTACTGTCCGGCTTCCTTGCCGGGCTCGGCGCTCTGGGGTTCTCCTGAACTCACTGGGTGTTTCTTGCTTCTCTGTCGTAGGCATCCTCAAGTGCAAGAAGGACAAAGCCTATGAAGGTGGCCAGTTGTGTGCCACCTGCTCCAGCCCCAGAAAGCTCCAGAAGCAGGAGATCCTCAAGGTGACCGACATCGCCTGCCTGAAGCCCTCCATAGAGTCCCCTCTGAGACACAACCAGAGTCACCTGGAGGAGGAGGAGGAAGAGGAGGAGCAGGAACAAGAGGAGGCGGGGGACAGCCAGCGGGCCCCGGAGGGCTTCGGATCCCCGCCGTGGAACATCTCTTTGAATATGACCGACGAGCACCGGAACATGGTCCTGCTGCTGTGTGACATCAAGAAGCCGCGGGATCTGTCCAGCGTTCAGCTGAACCAGACGGACCCCCCGGACATCGACGTCAACGCCACCCTGGCCCTGGACTTGGAGTGTCCGATGACCAGGGACAACTACGAAAAGCTGTGGAAGCTGATCGCCTATTACAGCGAGGTCCCCGTCAGGCTGCACCGAGAAGTTATGCTCAGCAAGGACCCCGGGGTCAGCTACCAGTACCGGCAGGACGCCGACGCGGACGCCCTCTACTACACCGGCGTCCGGGCCCAGATTCTCGCGGAACCCGAGTGGGTCATGCAGCCGTCCATCGAGATCCAGTTGAACCGAAGGCAGAGCACGGCCAAGAAGGTTCTGCTGTCCTACCAGGCCCAGTACTCCCAGACGGTGTCCCCCAAAGACACCAGGAATGCTCGGGGCACAAGCTGGGTCATGATCGAGGGGGCCACGCAGAGCGCTCACACGGTCTTGGAAGGCGGTCAGTGCCAGTTGAGCTGCAACGTCAAAGCGTCCGAGAGTCCATCCATCTCCTGGGTCCTTCCAGATGGCTCCATCCTGAAGGCGCCCACGAGTGACCAGGACAGCCGGTTCTCCGTCCTCAGTGGGGGGCAGTTGAGGATCCAATCCATGGCGCCGTCGGACTCAGGGTTGTACCAGTGCGTGGCTCAGGTGAGGGATGAAGTTGCCCAAGTGGCGTACAAGGTGCTGGTGATGAGTGCCCCCAATCCGCCCCTGGACAGAGAGACAGTGACCATTGACAAAGACCCAGGGGAGTCTGCCATATTACCTTGTAGTACGTTGGCAATACCCGAAGCCCACGTCACTTGGATCCTTCCAAACAGAAGACTGGTCAGCGCTGTGGCTAATACATCCCATGCCTATATGCTCCCAAATGGGTCTCTGTCCATCCCCAAGCTCCAGGTCGGTGACGGTGGCTACTACAGATGCGTGGCCGTCAACCAGAAAGGGGCAGACCACTACACGGTGGGAATCACCGTGCAGAAGAGTGGACCCGGCCGGTCCTCCAAGAGGGGCAGGCGTCCAGGTGCTAAAGCCTTTTCCAGAGTGAGGGGAGACGTTGTGGAGGACGAAGGAGGATCGGGGACAGGGCAGGAAGACGACCCTTCAAGGAGAGTGCCACACCCCAAGGACCAACAGGTCGTCATGAAGTCGAGGGACGAGGCTCCCCCCGGAGATAAGAAGATCAAGAAGGGGCGGAGGAAAATGAAGCTCTGGAAGCATCCGGAGAAAGAGCCCGAGGCCAGCGTCGCGGAGGGCCGCAGAGTGTTCGAGTCCAGGCGGAGGATCAATATGGAGAACAAGCAGATCAATCCCGAGCGCTGGGCAGATATCTTAGCCAGGGTGCGAGGCAAAAATCTCCCCAAAGGCACCGAAGGACCCCAGGTCCCGGAAACCACTACTTCTCCATCCACGAGTCCAGAAGTGACCTCTCTGTCCCCTGCTATGTCTCCGCCCTCTGTGTCTCCAGCGCAGACGGTCGCCATTGACGAAGGGTCCTCGGAAGACGTGTCTCTGTTCGGTGAAGAAGAGCAGGTGTCAAGCACCCTGTCGTCCACCGGCACAGCCCACGATGACGTGGTTCTCGGAGAACCCCAAGTCACAGGGGCACGTCTAGAGGAAGAGGTTGAGGATGAGTTGGCCGAGAGGACTGGGGACGTGGCGCCCACTGAGGTGGACGTGAGGTGGGTTCCAGCCACCACCCTGAGGTCTGAGCCTCTTGACTCATCTCCTGCTCTGTGGACCTCAGACACAGTCTATGAGGAGCCCACAGATGAAGAGAGAGCGACTGAGACTTGGTCTCCAGCCGTGGACACCACGTCCATGCCAGAAGGTACAACAGAAGATGAGGAGACTCCATTGGAGACAATCTCCTTGGCCGAGTCTGAGACGGTGCGGTCCTATCATCAAGATCTGGAGGCGAATTCAGAACCAGGGGAGGAGAGGACCTCTGCACACTTTCCTCTGACCCCCACCGCGTGGGTGGGTGACACCAGTCCATCAGACTCCTTAGGGGAACCGGATGACCCAGCCCTGTCACCTCTTCAAGGGCCAGCGGACAATTCCCACCTTGAGAAGAGTAGCCTAAGCACCCAACGTCCTCCACTCACTAAAGAGGACATGGCGGAGACGTCTTGGGGAGACCCGAGCGCGTCCAGACCTTCTGAAGGGCAAGACATCAAACCCACGCTGACCGCCACGAGCCACATTTCTCCGTTTGCTCAGCCCGGGGAATCCACAACTGGAGCTCGACCCCACCAGGGTACCACCGTGGTAGCCATGACAACGTCCAGTCCGAAGGCCACTTCACCTTCAGCACCGGCCACTCCCACTTCTCGAAGGAGGCCCAACGGGAGGAGGAGGTTTCGCCCCAACAAGTTCCGCCATCGCCACAAGCAGACCTCAGCAACAGCTTTGCCCCCGCCAGGGACGTCTTCTACTCCACCAACTCAGGTCCCTGAGACAAAGACCCCAAGCCAAGTGGACAGTTCCCTGGTCCCCACCTCTTGGGTTGATACCACCGTCAATGTCCCCAAGCGGCTGGACCTGGAAAAGCATCCAGAGCTTGGATCCAAGGGAACCCCACGGAGGAAAAACGGGAAGAGGCCAAACAAACACCGGTCCTCCACATCCACGGTGAGTCCCACGACATCCGTGTCCAAGCCCAGCCCCTCTCCAGAAAATGAACCTAAACATGCTGTTCCTCCGAGTCTGGAAACCACAGTTTTGCCTAGAATTGTCCCTCTGAGAACCAGGGACCCATATGAGGTCACTGGAGTGACAACCACCACAAAAATACCTTCCTCTCATGCGACCGTCCAAGGGACCACTGTGGTCACCCATAAACCCGAGTCAGATGGAAAAGAAATGGCCAATGACGGTGTCACCAAGGTGAACCGTGATGAAACGGACACTTCCGTCCCCAATGCATCTTCCATGAGTGTCTCACCAACTTCTGTTTCCTGGGCTTCCACTGTGGGGGATTTCAAGGAAGAATCTCCTCCTTTAGGTATTCCGGGAGTCCCCAGTTGGAGTCCCCCAAGGACAGCCCAGCCCAGGACACTGCAGACAGACCTACCTCTGACCAACTTGGGGGAAGAACTTACAGACCCGCCATTTTTGAAAGAGTTGGAAGAGGTGGATTCTACTTTTGAAGTTTCCCCTTCGGCTCCGGTGTCCACACCGTTCCGGCTGGAGGGACTTGGTGTCCCAACCCCTGTCTCAGACCTCCAAGTAGAGTGGTCTTCAAGTCAGGTGGAGACCACCACCAGTGATCAGGATGAGGGTGAAACCACTGTGGTCCCTGGTTCTTCTGAAACAGGACCACAGAGTCCCATCTCCAATCCTGCTCCATTGGAGGAAGTGGCCTCTACATTGCTACCCACCACCTCTGCATCGTTGGGACAGGCCACCACCAAACCCGTCCTTCTTACCCTGAGAACGTCTCCAACACCAGCAGGGAACAAGGATCATGTTTTCTTGAACTCTGTGGGGACTCCAGAAACCAAAGGTGCCCCAGGAAGCAATGAGGGAACTCAGCTTCAGGGGATGCCCAGTGAGTTATCTACCCCGTCTTCCCACCAGGATGGATTGAAGGCATCTCCGCGGCAGGAGTTGGGCAAGGAAGCATTTGACGTTAGCCACAGAAACAGCCTGTTCCGCGCTCCAGACACTCAAGGTCTGGATGGGAGACTCCATAGTTCTCAGCCGCCTGCCAGAGAACCTGCCAGACCTCCGCTACCAAGGGGAACAGCCTGGCCACCAGAGATGGCCACTCAGAGCTCCTTACGATACTTTGCAACTGTCCAGCCATCTCGTCACTCGACCAGGAAGCCAGAAGTAACTGCATTTCCTTCAAGGCTTTTCCCAGAGAACAAACTCTTCACAGCTCCAAAATCAGCGACTACGACAACAGCTCGCGTTCCGCTGCACCTGCCCAAACCTGCCATTCCTGGTGCACGGACCAACCAAAGAATGGACAGACTCAACGGCGATAACAAACTCTTTGGAAGTAACACCATCCTCGAGTCCAGAATTCCTGTTGGCGAGCTTCCAAAGTCAATGGTCCCCCCATATTCCGTTGGGCGATTCCCCTTCTTCATCAACAGGACTCCCTCTTTCCCAAAGTTGGGGGTCACTCTCAAGCCTCAGACGTCCCCCTCTCCTGCCCCAGTCACAAGAGACAACAAAATGAACCCCGGTCCCTACAACAGGGTCCATTCTCAGGGCACCATCCAGGTGGACTTTGGCCCACCCGCTCCTCCTCTGCGCCCTTCCAGGACCACGGCACCCCCTTCGACCCGCCTACACAACGTCCCCCTGATCTACTCCACCCGCAGCTCCGTCCCCTCCGTGACGCCTCCTGCCCAGTCCTCTGGCACCTTCCACCACAGCACCTCCAAGATCTTTGTTGGAGGACCGTCGACGTCCAAATTCTGGGTGCTGGGGGAGAAGCCCCAAATTGTCACCAAGTCTCCGCAGACTGTGTCTGTCACGGCTGAGACGGATTTCGCGTTCCCGTGTGAGGCCACAGGGAAGCCCAAGCCCTTCATCACCTGGACGAAGGTTTCCACAGGTAAGGGGCTTACGCATCTGGATTGGGACCCTGGGGGGTGCTTCTGGATCTGTGGACTCAGGCAGGGCCACAACTCTGGGAAGCTCAGGGGTCGGTGGGATGAGAGGAAGCATCTGAGCACTTAGACTTGGTTCCTTTCCAGAGAATGGACGCCAGGGTCTAGCCTGTGGGTGACACATTAATGGCGGCATGGAAACACGTCCTTTGGTCCTTTCGATAGGAAATATCTTAGGCTCTGAGATCTTCTGTAAGGGATCCTCCTGCTGGGTCAGGGCCACCCTGAGGATCTCTCGGCACCTCCATCACCTCTGCAAAGACCCATCTCCACCCACAGCACATCCCAAGGTCCTGGGGTCAGGTCACCCTGGGGACCTCATTTTCCCTTGATCAATTCTTTAGGTCTTGGGGGTTAGAATTGCAGTGGGTCAATTTGGGGGAACCCAGTTCACTCCATGATAATGACCTATACTTGGAATCCAGCTGTTCTGGCTGGAATAACCCCTCTTTTAGGGAAAGCATCATCATAAGGAGCATAAGCAGGTCACTCGGGAGGTCACCAAAAACCAAATACCAAGGAAGACAGCATGAGCCGTTTTAGAGTCACAGCAAAAACTCTTGGCAGATTGGAAACAGAAAGAAAAGCTAAACCTCAAACAAATCATCTACATAAATATAAATACACGCCAGGTGTGGTGGTATATGCCTGAAATCCCAGCAAACTGGGAGGCTGAGGCAGGTGGATCGCAATGTGGAGGCCAGCCTCAGCAATTTAGGGAGGCCCTAATCACTTAGGGAGAGCTTGTCTCCCTAAAAAATAAATAAGAAGGACTGGTGTTGCCTCTCCGTGTCAAAGAGCCCCCGGGTTTAATCTTCAGAACTGCACACATACAAAAAAAGAAATATAGGGGAGGGATCCAGAAATAAGGTCTTTTTTTTTTTTGGTCTCTGGGGGGAAGGAATGAATGAGGCTTAGAATTAAGAGCCTTGAGAAATGTCATCAGCTCAGGAGCCTTTGGGGCTGGGAAATATGGAAACTTTAGAGATCCAGAGACTCAGGTCTCTGTTCACTGCCCCCCTGACCGGCTACAAGGGGTGATTCTAGATGACCCTGGGGAAACACAAGAGACGCTCAATTCAACCACATCAACCTGGCCAATTTCTCCTCCTGTGAACTCGTGGAAATCCCTGTGGGTGGAGGTGGATGGGATCTTCAAGACTGGGGTGTCCATGTCCCCAATACACACAGGAATAGACTAATAAGTGGATTAATCCACTTGAATGGACTCACTGGGTGGTGACTGCAGCAGGTGGGGTGTGGCTGGAGAAGGGGGTCCCTGGGCTGTGCCTTTGGGGGTCTCTGTCCTGTCCCTGGTGAGCAGAGCTCTCTCTGCTCCCTGGTGCCCTGTCCTGAGCTGCTCTCCTCCTCCAGGCCCTGCCGCCATTTTGTTCTGCCTCCCCTTGGGCCAGAGCCATGGAGTCGGCCGAACACGGACTGACCTTCAGAAACCATGAGCCCAAATAGACTTTTCCTCTAAAATTGTTGTGATCACAGTGACAAAAAATCTGGCTGGACACCCCACGCCCTTTCCTCTGGCCCTGGTGACCACCTTTCTACTCTCTGCCTCTGAATTCAGCTTTTGTAGCTAGATCCCCCCGTGAGTGAGACCAGGTGATTTTTGTCCCTCTATACTGGGCTCATTTGCTTTCATATCCTGCTAGTTGATCTGTGCTGTTGGAAAGGGCAGGATCTCCATCCTAGCAAAGCCGGAATGGATGCCCTGGTGCCCCCAAGACACTTTTTCTTATCCATTCCCCCTTTGATGGACACTTAGGTTGCTTCCATATCTTGGTGACTGTGAATGGCACTGCTATGAAGATTGGGGTGCAGATATCTCTCCCTACACTGATTCCCTTGTCTATGGACATACCCTCAGGGGTGTGATGGTTGGAGCCCAAGACCCTAGCATTATTTTTTTTTTTTCACCTTGAAGGAACCTCTGGCCTGTTTTCCTTGGTGTTTGTGGTGGACATTCCAATCCCCAGCCATGGGCACAGAATCCCTTCCTGATTCTTGGTGACCCTGTTCTATCAGGTGCCACTGTGACACCTCCGTGTGATCCAATGTGCATTCCTTTCGTGGATAGTGACATCTTTGCACATTTCCTTCCGCAGTTTGGGGCTTCAAGAGGAGGACACCCTGACCAAGCCCTGGTGGTTGCTGGGTTTTTAGGGAAATCGGTGCATTTGGGGCCGAGACCTAACCGTGTTCTTTCATGTTGGCCAGGAGCGCTCATGACGCCCAACACCCGGATTCAAAGGTTTGAGGTCCTCGCTAACGGCACCTTGGTCATCCGGAGGGTTCAGACTCAGGACCGGGGTCAGTACATGTGCACGGCCAGCAACCTGCATGGAGTGGACAAGATGGTGGTGGCGCTGGCGGTCACCGTGCAACAGCCCCAGATGCTTGCTTCGCGCTACCAGGACGTCACCGTGTACCTGGGAGACACCATCGCCATGGAGTGCCTAGCCAAGGGCACCCCGCTCCCCCAGATCTCCTGGATCTTCCCGGACAGGAGGGTGTGGCACGCCGTGTCCCCCGTGGAGGGACGAATCACCCTGCACGAGAACCGGACCCTGTCCATCAAAGACGCCTCCTTCTCGGATAGGGGCGTGTACAAGTGCGTGGCCAGCAACGCGGCGGGCGCCGACAGCCTGGCCATCCGCCTGCACGTGGCCGCGCTGCCCCCGGTCATCCATCAGGACAAGGCCGAGAACATCTCGCTGCCCCCGGGGCTGAGCATCCACATCCACTGCTCGGCCCGGGCCGCGCCCCCGCCCACGGTGCGCTGGCTCCTCTCGGACGGCTCCCAGGTGCGCCCCTCGCAGTTCGTCCGCGGGAACCTCTTCGTCTTCCCCAACGGGACGCTCTACATCCGCAACCTGGCGCCCAAGGACAGCGGGCGCTACGAGTGCGTGGCCGCCAACCTGGTGGGCACCGCGCGCAGGACCGTGCAGCTGACCGTGCAGCGCGCCGCCGCCAACGCGCGCATCACGGGCACCTCGCCCCGGAGGACCGATGTCCGGTACGGGGGGACCCTGCGGCTGGACTGCAGCGCCTCGGGGGACCCCTGGCCGCGCATCCTCTGGAGGCTGCCGTCCAAGCGCATGATCGACGCGCTCTTCAGGTAGGGGCTCCCCCGGATCCCGGGGCATCCCTGGGCCCTGCGCTCGGCCTGCGTGTTGGGGACGGACTTGGTGACCCAAAGGGGCAGGAATCCGTGTCCACCATGAGGACGCTTAGGCACTGGGCCCTGAGTGCCCTCGTCCACACACAGAGGTCTGTGTGCTCTCCACCTCCTGGTGCCCAGCACAGCCCACCCAGAGAACCCCCAGCCCCAGAGGCCCCCAGTGCAGAGCAGATCTGCAGGACAGACTGTCTACCTGTCTAGCTGCCATCTGTCTGTCTACCTATCGTCTGTCATCTACCACATCTATCTAGGTGATTGTCACTTTGAGATGGAGTTGCTCCTGGCTCCTGGTGTGTGGGGCCCAGAGAGGCTGCTCCACCTCCTGCAGCACACAGCACAGCCCACCCCAGAGCACCCCCAGCCCCAGAGGCCCACAGTGCAGAGGAGACCTGCAGGACTATTATCCATCCACCCAGCTGTCACCTGTCCATCTACCAATCTATCTGTCAATCATCTGTCCATCCTGTCTATCACCTATCTATCTATCCATGTATCTATCTATCTGTCTATCATCTACCAATTCTGTCTGTCCATCTATCTCTCTGTCATCTACCCATCCTGTCTGTCCAGGTGGCTCTCTCACCCTGGGTGGGGCTGCTCCTGGCTCCTGGTGTGTGGGGCCCAGAGAGGCTGCTCCACCTCCTGCAGCGCACAGCACAGCCCACCCCAGAGAGCCCCCAGCCCCAGAGGCCCCTAGTGCCGAGGAGACCTGCAGGACAGAGTCTCTGTCCATCATCTGTCTACCGTCTAAACTCTTTTCTACCTACCCACCTATTATCTACCCCCTGTCTGTCTAGCCATCTTTTATCCTATAATCCATCCTATTATCTATCTATTCATCTATCTATCATGTGTCAATCTGTCACCAATTAATGCCCCAATCCATCACCTATCAATAGTCCATCATCTATCTTCTATGTCCTGTCTCTTGATGACCCACCAGTTTAATATCCATTATATCACTTACTGATGGCCACCGTCCTCACTGGAAAATTATGTCGTGCCACCCCCCCCCCCCCCCCCGGGGACACGCAGGAGTGTGGAGACCTTTCTGGTGTCTCCCTGGAGGATCAATGTGCTCCTGGCTCCCGGTGGCTGGGGACCCGGGATGCCGCTGCTGTCTAGGCTGGGTGCCGGGGTGTCCCCCACCACCGCGATGCACCCATGTGTAGATGCTCGTGTGCGAAAGCCCAGGCCCAGGTCTGTTTCATACGACTCTCAAGAAACAGAAGACACGTTGGAGGAGCAGGAAATTAGGGAGAAGCTTCATCCTGCTCCTGCAGAGGAGGAGGAGGAGGAGGAAGGCGTGTGTGTGTGCGTGTGTGTGTGTGTGTGTGTCTGTCTGTGTCTTGCATCTGCACAGGCGAAAGCCTGGGCACTGGGTTTCCAGGTCCCTTGTGCACCCTGGGGCCCTCCAGGACCCTCCCAGTGCAGGGACGAGGCTCAGCCCCTCTGCCCCCCTGCGCTTCCCACCCCAGGCAGCCGGGCGGTGCCGGCCCGTCTTGCACAATCCCTGCAAAACTCCACGTATCCGGTTTTCCCTGGAATCCCTTCCAGCCCAGCAGATGCCTGGCCCCGGGCAGCGTTGAAACATGGACAGCTCAGGAATGCGGATCCTGCCGGCGGCTGGCTGGCTGGCTGGCGAGTGCTTCTCTCAGGGTGTCCCCGTGAACCCGGATCCCGTAAATCACTCGCTCTCTGAGGCTTCCTTCTTACTAATCCCGGCTAATTACACTCTGAGACGTGAGCACGGAAGCCCCTTTGTGACAGGAATTCATCTATCACGGAGCGGGCTCCTTGGCCGGCCGGCAGCTTGGGAGTTCTTTACAGATGCAGAGAGGCCCGGGCATTGTTTAAAACATACAGATTCTCGGAATGTCCCTGCAGAGGCCAAATCCCTGGGGTCGGGCAGCCCCGGTGCATGCTTCAGGTTTGCTGTCCGGATTGCACCCCAAGTTGGGGATCATTGCTACAGAAGCTCCCTAGGCTCAGAAATGCTGGCTGCCCTACGAAATTTTGGATGCAAACTTGTTTCAATGCATAAGAAAATGTGTCCCCCCTCACACCCCGCCCTGTTATTCTCAGACCAGTTACCAAGTCTGTGGCTTGATGGACACAAACAGACCAAACCACACAGTTTAACTGGTCAACGTCAGTGCTTGCTTTTATTAACAATGATCAAGCCTGGTGCAGAGGCTCATGCCTGTCATCCCAGAGGCTCTGGAGGCTAAGGCAGGAGGATTGAAAGTTCAAAGCCAGCCTCAGCCAAAGGGAGGCCCTAAACAGCTCAGGGAGACCCTGTCTCTAAATAAAATGCAAAATAGGGCTGGGGACGGGGCTCAGGGGTCGAGTCCATCTGAGTTCAATCCGAGGTACCAAGAAAAAAGAAAATAAGTCTGTATCTATCAATCATCCATCTTCATATATAGAGACTCTATGTTTTATATATGTATATATATATATATATATATATATATATATATATATATATTCTGCATATATACAAATATATTTTGCATTCTGCTTATATTATACATATTCTGCAAGCAGAATATATACAGATGATCCATGCATCTCTCTTTCTCTCTCTATACATGTATTTTTAATGTTCAGATTTTTTTGCATGTGTGTGTGTGCATGTGTGTGTGTATTTAAAACTCTGTGACACAACCCTAGATGTTCCATCAGAATGGAGCCATGTGTAGGAACTACTAAGGGACTGGAATCCAAGGATAAGCAGCTTCTATAGGCTCCCGCTAGAAAGCAGGAGGCATTGAGATTTCCAAAGGGCAAGTCTGAAGACAAAACTTTGCACCCTGATGCAGACATTTGATCACACACACACACACACACACACACACACACACTACAGAGCAGGAGTCGGATCACATTCCACACCCTTGAATCTGCAGCCAGGACAGCCCAAGGTCAGACATGCAGGGAATTCCTGTGTGTGGTAAATCGTCCACCTCTGGACGCCAACCCCTGGATGCTGCAGAAATCCATGGGGCTCCGTACAGGCAGCTGCATGTCCCGATCCGTCTCTGAACCGACCTTTTCTGGGAATCTGGACTTTTCTTGCAGGTTGTCAAAGTCCTCGGGGTGGCCTTGTTGCAAATGGGATCCTTTGGATTCCCCAGAATCTGGTCAAAGGTCTCTTTTGTTATCTTTGACTTCATTTATTTAAACTTTCTCACTTTTTATCTTGGTGTAGTAGCTAAGTGTAGGTTAGTTTCCTTCACTCTTTTGAAGAAAAAAAAGAAAAAAGAAACTTCCTTTTGTTGATTCTTTGTATTTTTTCTTTTTTTAAAGCAAGGAGAGAGTGAGTGTGTGGGGGAGAAGATGACTCATGTGTTACAGTTACAGTTGGATAAGTTTAGAGACAGGGTCTTGCTAAGTTGCTTAGGGCCTGGCTAGGTTGCTGAGGCTGGCCTCCTACTTTCAATCCTCCTGCCTCGGCCTCCCAAGCCACTGGTATTACAGGCCTGCACCACCCAGGTTCAGGCTTTGGTTTTAATTGACCCACAACAATTGCACATATCTATGAGCCATCCTGGGACGGTTGTTCAAGATGTGCAGTGCTCAATTTGAGGGTGATCAGCATCTCCAACACCTCCTACCATATCTTGGTGTTGGAATGATGGGACACCTTCCCTTTTTGGACATAGGTGATAAATGATGGTGAGCCAAATTCACCCTATGGAATCCACCCATTTCTGTGTTCTTTCTTGGCACCTAAAGCCGGGGGGGGGGGGGGGATTCTGCCAGACGGACCCCTGACTCTTTTCTCTTCTTGTCCCTCAGCTTTGACGCCCGGGTGAAGGTGTTCACCAACGGGACCCTGGTGGTGAAGTCGGTGACCGACAAAGACGCGGGCGATTACCTGTGCGTGGCCCGCAATAAGGTGGGGGACGACTATGTGGTGCTCCAGGTGAACGTGGAGATGAAGCCCGCCAAGATCGAGCACAAGGAAGAAAATGACCACCGCGTCTTGTACGGGGGCGACCTCAAGGTGGACTGCGTGGCCACGGGGCTGCCCAACCCCGAGATCTCGTGGAGCCTGCCGGACGGCAGCCTGGTCCACTCCCTGATGCAGTCGGACGACAGCGGGGCGCGCACCAAGCGCTACGTGGTCTTCCACAACGGCACGCTCTACTTCAACGAGGTGGGCCCGCGCGAGGAGGGGGACTACACGTGCGTCGCCGAGAACCAGGTGGGCAAGGACGAGATGCGAGTGCGCGTCCAGGTGGTGGCCGAGCCCGCGGCCATCCGGAACAAGACCCACTCGGTGGTGCAGGTGGCTTACGGAGAGGTGGCCACCGTGGCTTGCGAAGCCAAGGGGGAGCCCGTGCCCAAGGTCACTTGGTTCTCTCCAGCCCACCGGCCGATCCCCGCGTCGTCGTCGTCACCGGACAAGTACCAGGTCTATGAGGACGGGACGCTCCTCATCCACAAGGCGCAGCGCTCGGACAGCGGGAACTACACCTGCCTGGTCCGGAACAGCGCCGGCGAGGACAGGAAAACGGTGTGGGTCCAGGTGCACGTGCAGCCCCCCAGGATCAACGGCCACCCCAGCGCCCTCACCACGGTCCGGGAGGTGGCCACCGCCGGCAGCCGGAAACTGCTGGACTGCCAAGCCCGGGGCATCCCGTCGCCCAGGGTGCTGTGGGCCTTCCCAGAGGGCGTCATCCTGCCCGCGCCCTACTACGGAAACAGGGTCACCGTCCACCGCAACGGCTCCCTGGACATCAGGAGCGTGAGGAAGACGGACTCGGTGCAGCTGGTGTGCATCGCGCGCAACGAGGGCGGAGAAGCCAGGCTCAGCGTGCAGCTCACGGTCCTGGAGCCCCTGGAGAAGCCCGTCTTCCACGACCCGGTCAGCGAGAAGATCACGGCCATGGCCGGCCACACCATCAGCCTCAACTGCTCGGCCTCGGGGACCCCGCCGCCCACGCTGCTGTGGGTCCTGCCCAACGGCACGGAGCTCCCGAGCGGCCAGCAGCTGCAGCGATTCTACCACAAGCGCGACGGCATGCTGCACATCAGCGGCCTGGCCTCGGTGGACGCCGGGGCGTACCGCTGCGTGGCGCGCAACGCCGCCGGCCACACCGAGAGGCTGGTGTCGCTCAAGGTGGGGCTGAAACCCGAACCGAGCAAGCAGTACCACAACCTGGTGAGCATCATCAACGGGGAGAACCTGCAGCTCCCCTGCGCCCCTCCTGGGGCCGGCCGGGGCCGCTTCTCGTGGACGCTCCCCAATGGAATGGCTCTGGAGGGTCCCCAAGACCTGGGACGCGTCTCCGTCTCGGAAAACGGCAGCCTCACGGTGCGCGAGGCCTCGGTGTTTGACAGGGGCACCTACGTGTGCAGGGTGGAGAGCCCGTACGGCTCGTCGGTGGTCAGCACCCCGGTCATCGTGATCGCCTACCCGCCGCGCATCACCAGCGAGCCGGTGCCGGTGGTCTACACCCGCCCGGGGAACACGGTGAAGATGAACTGCTTGGCCATGGGCATTCCCAAAGCTGAGATCACGTGGGAGCTCCCGGACAAGTCACAGCTGACCGCCGGGGCCCAGGCCCGTCTCTACGGGAACAGGTACCTTCATCCCCAGGGATCGCTGTCCATTCAGCGCACCACCCAGAGGGACGCCGGCTTCTACAAGTGCACCGCCAGGAACATCCTGGGCACGGACTCCAAAACCACGTACGTCCATGTCTACTGACCATCTCCGCAGGACGCACGTGGGCGGCCGCTGCTCACTGGGAGGTGAGACCCGGAGGTGAGACCCAGAGGTCATTGGTAAGGAAATTCAGGGCGTAAGGATTGGAGCTCGGGAAGGCGTCGCACCAGGGCACTTTGGTCCCCGTGGGGTTCAAGGTGAGGCTGACCTTGACCTAGCTTCCTTGGCCAAAAGAAGCGCTGATACCCCCAGCAAGGAGGACCCGGATTGTCTTGCTATCCCTGTGAAAACATGATCACCTGGTGAATTCTCAGCCGTGTTTTTTTTTTCACAGGATGGAACATTCTAGAAATTTCTGTTGCTTCAGAATTCCCGCGTGTCCCTTAAAGGGCTCAGAGCCAGACAGGGTCAGTGCCTTTGTTTTTAAATCTCTGGTTTCATATGCACACCATGTCAGATGTAAAGACTTTTCTCTGGAAATATCTATACTGTTATAAATATAAATATTAAAAAAAATTGTTTTCTTCCCCCTTCAGACGATGAGAGTAGAAAGAGAGAGACTTTCTAGCTCATTAAAACATAATAAATTATTGGTCTTTACAAGACTCGGGTACATTAGAGCAGACATGGAAATGCCATTCAACACCAATTTCTCCCCGGGCCGCCTTCCGGAACCCTACATTGGTGGTGAGTGGGGGTGGTGGTGGTTGGTGGGGGTGGAGGCTGGGATATTAAATTTCGTTGCATGTAAAATTCAGCTTGAAAGCTGTCCTTGGGTGATGTAAACAGGAGCCAAAGGAAAAGAGGAATCCAGGCCCCCATAGAAGGGCACCGCAGAGTCTTCTAAAAATAAATAGTAAAATGTAAAAAGCCACCAGACTGTTCTGCAGTGCCTTACCTGTCAATCAAGTCCAACCAGCTGCCCACCCCCCCCACACCCCTGCCAAGGTCAGGAGGCACTGATGGAGGTCAGGAGAGCTGCTATCCCCATGACTGCTTTATTGTATTTTTAAGGTCCATATGCTGTACATTTGACAATAAAGTGATATTTTCCAAAGACCTGGGCTGTGAGTTTTGCAAGAGCCAATGAATCGGGGGCTCAATCAGACCTTTTGGGGGAAAAAAACCTGCTTTAATGAATTGCATTTCAGCTATTCTCTGTAAGTTTTTAGACAGGGAAGGAGACCGGAATTTTTGCTTTGTTTGCAAAAATTCTTCTTCTTTCTCTCAAAAGACACATCTACATGTCTTGGCATTCCTGAAGTAGGAAAATCTCTCATTCCTTTGCTTCTTCGGAGAGACTCTCATTCTTTGGAATTCTCTGGGGAGGGAGAAAAACAGCAAACTTAAGATAAATCCTCGGGAAGAAGGTACCGGGGGCCCGTCGGGTCGGCATTTTGGCAAGCACACGTCTGCCAAATGCTGAACCGTTTCCGTCCCTGCATGGAAAGAATGCTTGCTTCTCCTTCACGAGTCTGTGGGAAGCACAGAGGTATCTCTCGTTTATTCATTAATACGTGGGTTTTGTTGAAGACCTAATGAGGGGCAAGGAACAGGACAGGCACCTGGGGAGGAAATGGATCCTGTCTGAAGGATTGGTGCTCCCAAGGGAGGACTCTGGGGCTGGGGGTGCTCTGGGGTGGGCTGTGCTGTGCACTGCAGGGTGTGGAGCAGCCTCTCTGGGCTGCACCCACCAGGTGCCAGGAGCAGCCCCACCCAGGTTGGGACAGACACCTACACATTGGCAGATGACAGACAGAGGCTTGCTGAACAGATAAAGAGGACAGAGAGTTCCTACTGTGTGATGAACTCCCATTCCCTGAGCTAGTCTGGGTGCACGTAGCTACAGCGAACAAACACAGATACTTAACAATCCGCGGTGGAGCTGGATAAGTGAGAGTCACTGGGCAGCTTGTGACTCAGCCACATCAAAAAGCATCAGAACCAGTTTCCCCAGAATAAGGACGCGGGAGCTCTGAGCTGCTCCCTCAGTGCAATCACTTAAGCATGCACCATATATATTCATATTTTTTTTCCAAAAAAAAAAAAAAAAAAACATCCTAACTGAAAGAAACACGTTCTTTCCTCCCTCCAAAGGGCTAACTTCTACCATCTGGGGTTGGAGCTTGTAAATCTGTGTGCACAAGCAGAATCCTGAGCTTGCACTCCATTGCCACTATTTATGGCTCCCAGATCCTCACTGGAAAGCCAAATTATAACCAGGCTCTGTGATCCAGCTTGCAAAAGCAGACGCAGCTATTGTGGACGGGGTGGACGCTGGACCCGGGGAGGGAGCTCCCCACCCCGCAACCCAATGCAATGCGAAGGGCCCTGCAGCCACGAGAGACTTCCTGCACTCCTGTCTGTGCAGGCTCAAGTCTCCTGGGCGTGGTGATCCCATCACCGGCTCAACATGGCCCTGGCAGGTTGGCGTCCTGACTTGCTGCACTGGTAAGTAGCACCTCACACCAGGTGGAGCAAAGCCCACAGGTGGACTTCAGCCACCCCAGGGGCTGGCTCTAGCCTCCTTTCTTATAGGGACTTCTCTGCTGGAATGTTGTTAGGACATGGATCATCGGGGCTTCCTGTGGGTTCACCTTCTGCTGGTCACCTGCAGAGACGGAAGGACCCTCACATCCTGCCGTGTTCCTGGGGCTGCGGTAATAGGTGACCATACACTCGAAGCCTCCAATTAATTGAAATTTATTATCTCTCTGCTCCAGTGGCCCAAATGTGAGATCCAGCTGTCCACGGGCTCCAGGGGGCTTCTCCTGCCTGTCCAGCTCCTGGGCTCCAGGTGGCCCTGGGCTGGTGGCCCCTCACTCCAGTCTCTGCCTCCTGTTGTGTCTCTTGCTAAAAGGAAAATCCCATTCAGTTCAGTAGCTCATTGGAGCAAACCAAAGCCAGACCAAGAAGAAAGCAAAATGTCCCAAACGCCAGTTGCCTATTGGGGCGGGTCCCGGAACCACAGCGCGTTCTGAGAGCTCCCGGCCACGATGGAACGTGACGGCTTCGGGAGACAACTTAATTGGCTTCCACTTCATCGCTGACTGCCTTGCAGAGCGTCCCGGGATTAAGGGGCGCTCAGCCACCGTGATTAATGGCCGGACCGCTGGTGTTTGGGACACACCCAGTGGCCTCCCACACATCTTTTCTATTCCGAGGACATCTGTCACTTCGATGTGCAGAACAACCTCTTCTGGAGAGCCATCCCGTGATTGCGCGTCACCCAAATAAGTTGACAGGGCGTGGATTCAGGGTGTTGGGTTGGGACACAGACATATTTGCAGGGGGGAATGCAATCCTACCTGCTACGCCAGCCGTGTTTCTGAGTGACCGATGGGTAGATGGTGGGTGTCCATTCCTGGGGGAATCTCAAGGGCCACCTTCCGCCATATTGGAGACAGTGCTCGCCGTGCAGAAATTGCAAGCTTGGGCATGCATTCATTGTATCTCGGTGCTTCTGCTATCGGATTGGTAAGCGAGGGGGTCACCATGCCAACAGAAAATGTGGTGCTCGCTCGGGATGCCAGGGTCCACTCCAAGCGGTCATCTCTCAGTCTCTTTGCTTGCAGGACCCTGCAAATATCAACATCCACAGGTGCTCAAGTCTCCCCTCCAAAACGGCCCAGGAACTGAACCGTCCCCCGCTCCGTGGACTTTATTGAAATTCAACCCTTTGTGGGTGACTTGTGCTACCTAACGCTGTAGAATTGCTATGCAAGCCCTCGCTGGACTCGGCTCTCCGGGGAATCACGGCACTAAAGGAAAATGTGCACATGTTCCGTGCAGATGAAAGACTCCCCCAGGATCAGAACCATCCATGTGCCCAGCTTTGGGGGACGGGGTGGAACTGCAAGCCACTGAGTAGCTGCAGACCCAGGAAGGCCACCCAGGCTCTGTTTCTCATCTGTCGAGTGCGGTTGGTGTCACCGTCCTGGCAGGATGATTGGGGAAACCGATGGAGTGTGGCAGTTCCCGTTATACCCCAGGGTGATGGTCAGTCAATGGCCAGTTGCATGGAAGGAAGTCGTCAGCCTACAGCCCAGGGGTGCGGGGGGATATTCCAAGCGGGCATGTGTTCCTGCACTTGGGGGCTCACACACAACCACGGGGATTGGTATTTATCTTAATTTTTTCTTTTTTGGTACCAGGGCTTGAACACAGGGGCACTCGACCCCTGAGCCCCCTCCCCAGCCCTATTTTGCATTTTATTTAGAGACAGGGTCTCCCTGAGTTGCTCAGGGCCTCACTTTGGCTGAGGCTGGTTTTGAACTTGCGATCCTCCTGCCTCAGCCTCCAGAGCCACTGGGATAACAGGCAGGTACCACCCTGCCTGGCTCTACGATATTTTTTGATTATGTAAAAGCCAAGACATCCAAGGCTGAGCGCTAACGTTGTCTCCAGTGGAAGGGGATTTCTGTAAGGGGTGGTATGCAAAGAGAAAAAATACCTGAGGCTCCTCACTAGGGCCGTGGGCACTCAGAAAGTGAGCTGGTGTCTCAGCTGGAGCTCAGAGGCTGCAGCTCAAGGTCAAATCCAAGGAGGCTCCCATGTCCCTTGTCCCATGTGTCCTCCACACTCCTGCTTGTCCCATGGCTGACCCCTGCTGGAAATAATTAACCCTTAAGTCCCCTCATCCCAGACAACCTATGACCACTTTGATCCCCAAATAGACCATGAAGAGGAACTGTTGAAATCCATATTATGTTTTTAGACATCTATCCCTTGGGGAAAAATAATAGATAAAGGATTAAAGTTGAATGCAACCATCATAATGAGTTCCAGCATGTATGCATGCTCCTTCATTGAAAATTAAATTAAATTTAAATTTTTAAAATGTTAATAACGGGTGACAAGGTGCTGAGTCTGAATCCCGATTGATACATTTTTGCATTTGATTCTCAAAGAATGAGAATGGAGCAAGGTCATAGACCCGCTGGGCATATTGGGAATCTGAGGCTTGTTGAGATGAAGCAAACAATATAAGGTAACTCACTCACCCACAGGAAGGGGATAAGGGGCCAACAGGACTCTTTTATCTCATCTTAATAGCTGTGCCTCGTTCCGGGAAATCTCCTAACCTCTGGTACTTCCCACTGGCAGCCCGTTGCACTGAAATTACCTGAAAAAAGGAAATAAATCCAATATCTGGGCTCCTCTCTCCTGCCCACACCCTAAGACTCACCCGCCCTGTGCAAAGTCACAAAGAATGGCTGATGTTTTGGGACCCCTCCCCTGGAAAAAATGAATAGCTTTCTTGTTCAATGGAATTCTTTGGCACAGTAGCACAGTGTTATAAATAGTATCATTCCTCCATAAAAAAAGAAAAAAAAAACCCACAGAATATAAATGGTATTGGAACAACTGTTTTGTCATTATTAGTCTTGGACAAGATAAATGAGAAATGATAGGAAACAGATGCTAGATAAATAGATGTACATATATAATGGATAAATGATTGGGGTAGATACATAGATGATGGATATATATATATATATATATATATATATATATATATATGTATATATATAAAACCTTATATAAATTAATATAAAATAACATACATATGATGTTATATGATATGCATGCTCATTTACAGTATATATGAATATAGTATATATATGCATATTTTAGTGTATTCAGTCTGAGCATTCCTTAATCTAAAATTCCAAATTCCTATCCAGGGCCCAAAATCCAAAACTTTTTCAAAGTCAACAGGGTGTCAACAAGTTTAAAACTCTTCTCTTGGCTTCATGTGATGGGTTACACTCCAAACACAGGCACAAAAAAATTAGCATATACTATGCCTTAGAGCTATGTGGAGGAGGTATGCGTGAGACATAAATGAATCTCACGTCCAGGCTTGGGACCCATCCCCAGGAGATCTCTTTGTGTTGTGCAAATCTTCCCAAATCTGAAGAAGTCCTAACTTAAAACTACTTAGCACCTTGCTGTTGTTGAGGCTGGTCTCCAACTCGCAATCCTCCTGCCTCAGCCTCCTGCACCACTGGGATTACAGGCGTGCACCTCTGCACCCAGCTCCAAGTTATATTT